TTAACCTAACTGTTTGTGTTATACATGTGCATATGTATGTTATCAGTATCTTCCATATATTTGATTTTTAAAAGTTAAAATGGTGAAAAATAATTCCTTTTTTGTGTATCCATGGCAACATTCTGCATTTATTTACCATAAAATATTGCAAAAAGGGGGGCAAAAATGTCACATATTCCCCCAAAATTTGGTTCAAACTAGAATTTCAATGCCTTTCAGTGATACCTTTTCAGAAACTGTTGATATAAATCTACCAAATGATCAAATAAAAAATGGGTGTCTTTCGCCTCATTTTTTCATAAAATTTAATTGCAAAGTTTGTGCGACAAAAAGCCGGAAAAAAACATTACAATAATTGCCGGACCAATATTTGGTATGGATATGAAAATACGGACTGTCATACAGAAAACAGCCCATATTACATACATTACATAATCTTGATGTTCCTATAAACCCACTATGAAGGCTATTTTAATCTTCAGCTATCCAAAAATGAATTTTATTCTACACTAGCTATCATATTTGAAAAATCCACAGGGGCCAAAATGCGAAACTACACACCTAACTGTGGAGTGCTACCTTAATATCAAATTTTTTTTCCCTGCCTCAAATTCAAATTCATTTCCTGTGTTCTACTAGCTGTAACGATTAAAATGGTACCATAGTTTTTAAAATTGGTTCAGTAATAAAGATTTTATGAAGGTTAGCATTTGATGTTAAACGGGACAAAAAGTCATTTAAAAAAAAATGCCTGATCAAAGTGTAAAACCTCAAGCCTGTCACATTTTTGGGGTAAATTTCTAAAACTTTTCCCTTTTTTATGTTTAAAATCATAAAATAACCATTAAAGAAGAAAAATTGTACAATTTTTAGGTATTTGAAAGCATTTATAGGTCAATTTTGCTGTAAATAGCATGCCAAACCTTGTTTTAGAAACTCTCAAGCAGGGTATAAATATCTAAGTACTGGCATCATTAAATTTCATTCATGCCAAATTATTATATAAAATCCTGCTAAAAATGTTTATTTGACTTATTTGCATTAAAAAATATAAAGCGATATATTCTGAGGCTATCATATAAAGCGCAATCTTTGGTTACAAGGGCGAAGCTAATGGAGTACAAATTTAAGACAGAAACATGTCTTTGTGTCAAAATGTGTATATTTGGTTGCTAAGGACAGTAAACAATAAAATTAACATGTATTGCAATCCTAGCAACTTTTTTCCCTTCAGAACTACATTAAGAACCTAACAGACTAAAGATTTGTGGTTAAATTTATCTTAAAAAGTGCATTTCTGTGCTTTCTGATGTGCCATAAGGTAGCACTCCACAGTTAGAAAAAAACATTAAAATTGAACCACAAAATGTTTTATCATCTTCTATTCCTGGCTTTCAAATACATTAACCTAACTGTTTGTGTTATACATGTGCATATGTATGTTATCAGTATCTTCCATATATTTGATTTTTAAAAGTTAAAATGGTGAAAAATAATTCCTTTTTTGTGTATCCATGGCAACATTCTGCATTTATTTACCATAAAATATTGCAAAAAGGGGGGCAAAAATGTCACATATTCCCCCAAAATTTGGTTCAAACTAGAATTTCAATGCCTTTCAGTGATACCTTTTCAGAAACTGTTGATATAAATCTACCAAATGATCAAATAAAAAATGGGTGTCTTTCGCCTCATTTTTTCATAAAATTTAATTGCAAAGTTTGTGCGACAAAAAGCCGGAAAAAAACATTACAATAATTGCCGGACCAATATTTGGTATGGATATGAAAATACGGACTGTCATACAGAAAACAGCCCATATTACATACATTACATAATCTTGATGTTCCTATAAACCCACTATGAAGGCTATTTTAATCTTCAGCTATCCAAAAATGAATTTTATTCTACACTAGCTATCATATTTGAAAAATCCACAGGGGCCAAAATGCGAAACTACACACCTAACTGTGGAGTGCTACCTTAATATCAAATTTTTTTTCCCTGCCTCAAATTCAAATTCATTTCCTGTGTTCTACTAGCTGTAACGATTAAAATGGTACCATAGTTTTTAAAATTGGTTCAGTAATAAAGATTTTATGAAGGTTAGCATTTGATGTTAAACGGGACAAAAAGTCATTTAAAAAAAAATGCCTGATCAAAGTGTAAAACCTCAAGCCTGTCACATTTTTGGGGTAAATTTCTAAAACTTTTCCCTTTTTTATGTTTAAAATCATAAAATAACCATTAAAGAAGAAAAATTGTACAATTTTTAGGTATTTGAAAGCATTTATAGGTCAATTTTGCTGTAAATAGCATGCCAAACCTTGTTTTAGAAACTCTCAAGCAGGGTATAAATATCTAAGTACTGGCATCATTAAATTTCATTCATGCCAAATTATTATATAAAATCCTGCTAAAAATGTTTATTTGACTTATTTGCATTAAAAAATATAAAGCGATATATTCTGAGGCTATCATATAAAGCGCAATCTTTGGTTACAAGGGCGAAGCTAATGGAGTACAAATTTAAGACAGAAACATGTCTTTGTGTCAAAATGTGTATATTTGGTTGCTAAGGACAGTAAACAATAAAATTAACATGTATTGCAATCCTAGCAACTTTTTTCCCTTCAGAACTACATTAAGAACCTAACAGACTAAAGATTTGTGGTTAAATTTATCTTAAAAAGTGCATTTCTGTGCTTTCTGATGTGCCATAAGGTAGCACTCCACAGTTAGAAAAAAACATTAAAATTGAACCACAAAATGTTTTATCATCTTCTATTCCTGGCTTTCAAATACATTAACCTAACTGTTTGTGTTATACATGTGCATATGTATGTTATCAGTATCTTCCATATATTTGATTTTTAAAAGTTAAAATGGTGAAAAATAATTCCTTTTTTGTGTATCCATGGCAACATTCTGCATTTATTTACCATAAAATATTGCAAAAAGGGGGGCAAAAATGTCACATATTCCCCCAAAATTTGGTTCAAACTAGAATTTCAATGCCTTTCAGTGATACCTTTTCAGAAACTGTTGATATAAATCTACCAAATGATCAAATAAAAAATGGGTGTCTTTCGCCTCATTTTTTCATAAAATTTAATTGCAAAGTTTGTGCGACAAAAAGCCGGAAAAAAACATTACAATAATTGCCGGACCAATATTTGGTATGGATATGAAAATACGGACTGTCATACAGAAAACAGCCCATATTACATACATTACATAATCTTGATGTTCCTATAAACCCACTATGAAGGCTATTTTAATCTTCAGCTATCCAAAAATGAATTTTATTCTACACTAGCTATCATATTTGAAAAATCCACAGGGGCCAAAATGCGAAACTACACACCTAACTGTGGAGTGCTACCTAAAACAACAGCCTCCAATAAATGTTTACATAAAAGAGGGGAAAGTAATAAAATTGTTAATTGAATAATTTTCCTAATGCAGAAATAGTGTGATGTATGGTTTCCAACCAAAAGAAATATAAACATAACTTTTGATTGGGGATAATTTATACCTAATAAAAGTCCCTACGTAACCAAAAAAAGAAAGAAAAAAAAGTACCCTTTGCGAGCGCCTTATTTGACTTTTACTATCTTTTTTTTTCCTTTCTGTTTCCTGCGCAAACCTATTTATAACGTTACCGTAACAGATAGAAAAAAGAACAATTTGATCATCGATAATTAGAAATTTATATTTTCAATCAAAATTAAAAGTAGTTTAATTTGAATAAAGAAAATGCAGAAAGCGATTTATTAAATTTATTCACAAGACGAACCCATATGTATGGTAACAATCCGATCGGTATTGTCTGAAAAATCGTCCTTGTTGGACTCTTCACATGAACTGTATATCTAATAGTCAATATATATGTTCCTGGCGTGAAGAATTAATGTCTTTTTCTTGGTTATTTTCCAAACACAATGGCTCATATTGGTGAGGTCAATTATCTTCGTAGTTTGTCAGTAATCGGGAAAAGTGCTGTCAATACCGTCCATGGTGTACTAGTACTCGTGCAGAAAGTGATCGACATCGTCCAGTTTGCGACATTTTCCCAGCTTGTAACCAGTGACGTAAGCACAATCACGTGATCGTTATCTAATTAAAAATCATTCATTATGACAAGCGCTGGATTCTTTGACCTAAAAATGCCGATTGATCAGGTTTTGACCAGCAAAATTGTACAAAACATGTTTTAATACTAATATTTATTGATTTGATAAAAAAAATTAAAATTTAAAAAATCGTGTCACGTCTCCTTTAAATGTTTTTTTTTCCCCCAAGAAAATGATGTTTTCTGATTATTAGCACGAATTATTGAATAGAAATTATCTTGACATTTACTTCAAAATAATTTTGTCCTTGTTCAAGAATGTGCCAAAGCTCATGTCAGCAGTTTCTGTTCCTTAGGCACAAATTAGCACACAAATAAATATGAATAAAAAAATATGTTGTTCATTGTTGTGTATTCATTATTAAGACAGCAACTCAAAGACAAAAACCACCAAAAGTCATCTGGAATTCAACAAACAGTCATCATCAATAGACAGATGTCTACATGAAATGTATACAGTATATGTTGAACTTTGAATTGCTTGATTCTAAAAATAAATTGATTAAATTAAACAGAAACTATCAAAGATCTTCAATCAACACAAAATTATCCAAATAACATAACACAACCAAGGAAAAGGTTTCTGACTTGCTACAGACACAAGCATTTGTGGCAAGGTTATACTAGTTTGGAAACTTGAAAGCAAATTACAGTGATTATTGATTCTTGAAACTACATGTATAAAATCTTTTGAAAAATTACATTACATGTATTAGAGAAAAGGGATCTCTTCTTTTTCTTGCTCAATTATATTCATGTATGTAAACAAAAATAGTTTTTGTATGTAAAAATGTATGCTCATAGGCTAGCATTGCAGCATCACAGATGCATGAGATTGTAATGAAGATGATAATTTATATTTTAGAATCCAGAATTCAGTGTTTAGTCAATAATGTCAGGAGGAACATTTACTTGGGAAACATGGAAGAGAATGTTCAACAGTCGAGTATTCGCTTTGCCATTACTTCACGGTGATAATATGTACATCATAGGTGGATGTGACCAGATGGGCAAACCTATAACAGCTTTTGAAATGTATGAAACAAAAAAGAGAAAATGGCATAATCTGCCAGAGATGCCAACTGCAAGAGCATCACCTGCAGCAGCCATAATTGGGGATAAAATTATTGTTATTGGAGGAGTTGGTGAGGGTCAAAACCCTGTAAATGCTGTTGAAATGTATAACATAAAGGCTAAAAAATGGGAGAAGATGGAACCACTCACTGAAGCTTTACTTGGGTTATCCAGTGTTGTTAGAGGTAAAAATAATATGAAATGGGAAAAGGGTTAGCAGACTCTCCTAATCTGGAAAGTCTCAAATCTGATAACTCTCAGTATGTTTCAAAACAAACCAAATAGTGCATGCATCAATAAAAAAGATTTTCAGCATTATGTTTATTATTAAAAATGAACTATCACTAGTAGCAAGATTTCAGTCTGAAACGGTCATTTTGGTCTGATCAAGTCTGAATCAACTGAATTTACCGCTAGGGAAAAACGTTAAGACTTTTTAAGACTTTCAGACGCTGTTCAGATATGTCGTGTTCAGTCCGTTCATTCATGTCAAGATAAACAAGACAGAAGGCTCTAGCTGTTAAACAAGATATGTTAAGACGGTTTTAGACGAATTCAGACCAAACATAAAAAGTAATGTTCAAAATTTTCAGATCGGGTTAAGATCCGTTTAGTGTGTCAGAATGATATTAGGAGTTACGCCCCTTCATGTGGATGATACATTTTAATTATAAAAAAAATTACAATATAAATGCTAGAATGAAAAACGTATATTTTTAATAATTAAACATAAAATCATTGGTTGACGTTTTATTTCTGTTGGTCTTTTTTTAAGAGATTAGTGATTTTGTTTTGTTGAGGAAATAACTTATTCGCCTATAACTGTTTATGATTTTATTTTATTTTTTATTTTCTGATGTTAATTTATGTATTTATCTACTTATTCTTTGAAAAGAAGTAATTGCAAATTTTAAACATAACATTATCAAAAGAGTGAAAACACCTTATAAATTTCATGCGTCTGAAGCACGTTTCTGGATTTAACTTCATCGGGAACGATAAACGTAAATACAAATATGTTTTATGTCAGATAATTTATATCGTTAATTTCGTTATCTTTCGATACTTTCCTCTAAAACTTAATAATTACTTCGTGGCATTTAGTAATCATTCCCCGTGCGTGTTATTCTTTTTATATTTGGACAACCGTCTTCTTTTTTTTTTTTTTTTGCTTTTATTTCGTAGTGATGCGTAGTCACCAAGGCCGCATCAGGGAACCATGTCTCCGAGTGCAGTTAATATTCTGAAAACTGCACTTAGACCGTGACGAGACAATAAAACTATAAATAACATACCATCGGAAAGAAGAAGATGTTGATGGGAGGGGGCGGGGAGGAGGTTACAGAATAGAGAATGAGTGGCAATAAATATAAAGAATAGAGAAAATGGATAAAAAAAAATAAAGAATAGAGAATAATAAGGTGCTTGAATATAAAGAGTTGATAATAATAGACAAAAAGTTTAAAGAATAGAGAAAATCGGCATAAAAAATTAAAGAATAAAGAACTAGAGGCTCTAAAGAGCCCGTGTCGCTCACCTTGGTCTATGTGCATGTTATACAATGGACACAGATGGATTCATGACAAAATTGTGTTTTGGTGATGGTGATGTGTTTGTAGATCTTACTTTACTGAACATTCTTGCTCCTTACTATTATCTCTATCTATAATGAACTTGGCCCAGTAGTTACAGTGGAAAATATTTTGTAAAAATTTACAAAAATTTACAAAATTTATGAAAATTGTAAAAAATTGACTATAAAGGGCAATAACTCCTTAAGGGGTCAATTGACAATTTTGGTCATGTTGACTAATTTGTAGATCTAACTTTGCTGTACATTATTGCTGTTTAAAGTTTATCTCTATCTATAATAATATTCAAGATAATAACCAAAAGCTGCAAAATTTTCTTAAAATTACCAATTCAGGGGCAGCAACCCAACAACATGTTGCCTGATTGGTCTGAAAATTTCAGGGCAGATAGATCTTGACCTAATGAACAATTTTATACCATCAGATTTGCTCTAAATGCTTTGGTTTCAGAGATATGAGCCAAAAACTGCATTTTACCCTATGTATTATTTTTTTGCCATGTCGGCCATCTTGGTTTGCGGGCAGGGTCATCGGACACATTTTTTAAACTAGATACCCTAATAATGATTGTGGACAATTTTGGTTAAATTTGTCTTAGTAGTTTCAGAGGAGAAGATTTTTGTAAAAGATTACAAAAATTTACGAAAAATGGTTAAAAATTGACTATAAAAGGCAATAACTCCTTAAGGGGTCAACTGACCATTTTGGTCAAGTTGACTTATTTGTAGATCATACTTTGCTGAACATTATTGCTGTTTACAGTTTATCTCTATCTATAATAATATTCAAGATAATAACCAAAAACGGCAAAATTTCCTGAAAATTACCAATTCAGGGGCAGCAACCCAACAATGGGTCGTCTGATTCATCTGAAAATTTCAGGGCAGATAGATCTTGACCTGATAAACAATTTTACCCCATGTCAGATTTGCTCTAAATGCTTTGGTTTCAGAGATATAAGCCAAAATCTACATTTTACCCCTATGTTCTATTTTTAGCCATGGTGGCCATCTTGGTTGGTTGGCGGGGTCATCGGACACATTTTTTAAACTAGATACCCCAATGATGATTGTGGCCAAGTTTGGTCAAATTTGGCCCAGTAGTTTCAGAGGAGAAGATTTTTGTAAAAGTTTACGGACGACGGACGACAGACGACGGACGCAGGACGACGGACGACGGACGCAAAGTGATGAGAAAAGCTCACTTGACCTTTCAGGTCAGGTGAGCTAAAAAAAGGACCCCCTCCAGATCCTCATAGAAGTTTTCGTTAAAACAATACAACCTAATTTAAGTTCAGCATCTAGTATATATCCTTGTAAATGCGTTAATCCTTTCTTTCATTTTAATAACAATTTTATTTAATATAAAATAATTATGTATTTATTTGTTTATTCAAGTTGCACTATGCAAATAATTCTTCTTCGCCTTTTTCTTCCTATAATAGTAATAAATGTATTCGTTATTTAATATTTTCTGTCAATAAAGATTGAATTCGATGGCACGTGCCACTAATCAAAAATGATCCTTAAACTATCAAAAACTTGGCAATTACAATGGCTATTTCACAATTACATCATATGTACACCTGTCATGGTATCATAGCTCCGTTCCTGTATGTGTAATTTAAGGTTCTGACACATTTTATAATACTAGTAGCTTCTTTCTGAACACTATTGACGACATTGTTAAAACTGCACGAACATATCACAAAACCGCAAATTTAGTGGTTAAAAAATAAACGATAATGACAAAAAAATAATTAAAAACTAAAAACAAAACAAAATTCTGTTGGAAGTAGCATATATTTACATGTATAAATTGTCTAGTGCTTTTATTACAGCGGTATACTTGTTTTATACACAGACCATATTCTGATCATATTCTATGCTAAGATATTGACAAGTCAGAAGTAAATATGTTAAAAGTCGTTTTAAATCAATTCATTTCACAGCTGAGGCAAATGTTCCTTCCCATTGTTGAATGGAGGTTAAATAAATGTGAACAATAAAAAAGATGTATATTTCTTAGGCATGGAGCTAGGCATTTCTGAAGTATCTTTGATAGCATTTTTTCCCTATCAAAAATGTATGCTGGTATATATGTAACTCTAGGTGTTTACCTAAAATGTTATGTATATGTAAAAGTTTAAGATTTTTTTTTTAATATTTGCCAAAAAAAAAACATTATCCGGAAAACCATATAATGGCGTTTTGTCCTTTAATTCTGTTTTTGTGATTTTCTAACCTACCTTCTAATTGATACGTTAATCCAAACAGTGCAAGTGTGTAATGCAAACATGCAAAATTCGGCTTTGGTGTATCATGTTAAAACAATACCCATAAATTATGATAATTTTCAATAATTTTAGATAAGATTATGCAAGGAAATGTGTTATTGTTTTCTATTTATCTAGCAAAATTGTATCTTTTTTTACACAAAGATGTCGATAAATAAATTTGATACCCTGCATTTATCATGCATTTCAATAGCATATTGTCAAATTGTTAAAAGATCTCCTCCTTAACAGGGAATCCGTTAGTATTGAAAGTCCCTGTCCTAAATTATTGAATTTGTCATTCTGCATTGACAATATTCAATTTATCTTGGTGTAAGTAATACGCACTCATTCGGGCTAACGCCCTTAATGTGTATCTAATACATATTATTTTCTCCCTCGTTTCACCCCTCCGATAATAAAGTTTTTTCTTAACTAGATATCGTAGAAAAACCAAACACAGTATAGGGTTGTGCGTTCGCTACCAGATCGCCTTGAATTTAACATGTTCAACATAAATATATACAATCAGCCATGCAAAAAGGCATAACATTTGTGTCAACTAATTCTGCCTCTTTAAAGGTCAAATGAAAGTTAGTCATTTCACTCTACTATGGAATGAAATGAACGAGAGAACTTTTGACGTGATATAGGTTGCACTTTGTAAATACAGCTGTTTCTCAAACCACGCCTCTTTTGGGGAGATATATAATATTCATAGATATGTTAATTTGTTAATGTACTGGTTCCCATTTATGATCTCTGTGTTTCATCTCATAGAGACATCACTTGGGAATGTAAACAGTATAGAAAAACATGGTAGCGCCTAAATTTTAATTCTTAGGAGGTCCAAAAATGGAGGTAAGGGTAGTATAGAATTTTAGTATAAGTTTAAACTCTTAGAAGTTCAGGGCATATAAATGTTGAAAATATGCCGCACAGCCCTATATTTTGACCTTTGAACAAAATAGTAGTGCATTTAAACTTTCCGTTCTAGGATATTATTTTCCACGAAACTTCATAGTAAAAGTGTCACAGTTTTAGCCGCAAAGGGAGTTCCTATGGGAAATTGCATTGTCTATATTTACAGAATTGCAACCTATATAGGGTGAAAAATTAGAAAATACAAAATTTCACAAAATCTTGTTTATCTCAGAGATTTTGAAGAATTTAACTCAAATATGAAGTTTTATAAATATTTCATGAAGATTGAGAAAATCCTGGGCCTAAACTATGATGAGTCAGCATAAATTCACAGTTTACAGTATGCATTGTTTACTTAAAGCATTGAATTAAAATTAAATTCATAATATATGCC